TAGGGAAAGCTGATCGAGCCCAGCGTGCCCGCGGCCGCCTCCCGCGCAGCACCGCCGCTGGGGACGATACGCTGCGGATTCGGATCGATCCCATGGAGGAGGAGGGCGCAGTCGGCCAGCGCAGCAGGCGGAGTCCCTCCCCGCGCCGGAGCCCCCCTGCAGTCGAGGGAGTCCTCGTTGGCAATGAAGGTGGCGACATCGAATCGCGGCCGACACACGTCACGTGGGAGGAATGGGCGATGAGCGGGAACGATGCGCGCTACGACGCCGACTCCGCCGTGCTCGTGGCCGCAGAAAGCCGCGCTCCAGGAGCACGCCAAGATGCAATGGCTCGCTTGCTTCGATTCAGCTCTCTCGGCAGCAGAAGTGGGGCTGGAGCGGGTGGGGGTGGATGCCGATTGAGGGGGAGCGTCTCCAGCTGCGCCCTGTGGCAGCTGCGCCCTGTGGCAGCTAGTCGAGGGACTTGGTAGTTGTGACCCCCCTGAGTGAGGACAGGAGAGAGAGAGCGTTTTGTGGTGTTGGTGTACGCAATAACGGGACAGGGTGGTTGTTCTCTCTATCTCCTCTTCTAGCTCTTAGCATGAGCTGCGCCCGGTGTCCGACCCCTTTTTGCGCAGCAACACCTTAAACTTTTAGGCCCTCCAAATTCGGGTCGGAGCGTAGCGGAGTGGGCCCCGAGTTTGAAAAGGGCGACGGACGCTTGCGTCCTAGCCCCCAACAACGCCTCCCCGGCGCAGAGGGGCCCCCCGAGGGATGCGGCAACGCCCCACGCCGCTTGCGGCGGTCCTATTCCCAGCTCTGCTGAGGGCCCGTGCGTACTTGTGACCAATGAAGAGAGCGCGCGACGAGGCCGAGCAGCAGCCGCCTGCCGACGAGCAGCCTCCTGAAGATCCGCCGTGGGAGCGCGACCCTGACTCCTACGTTGCGGCAAGAGACGTCGTCAAGCTTCGCTTTGTCGCGTCGGCGTCCGACGTGCTGACCGACGCAGAGGCGCCGGCCTTTACGCCGCCGTTTTTGCACCAGCACTTCGCCAACGAAGCGCTCGCGCTGCCCGTGAGCCAGCGGCCGCTGACGATCGAGGTGCTCTACGCGGCGCACACGCTGGTCCCGTTCCCGCGCTGCGACCGACCTATGGAGGGTTCCATTGAGGACGCGATGTTTTCGCTCGTCGAGCAGCTGCCACAGGCGGGCGCGTCCGCGGAGGCGCTGCTCGACGCGCCGGAGGTCCGGCTCGGAGGCGAGGTCCTCGCAACGTACGAGCGCGGCGGCGCCCAGTTTGAGGCGCGCCTCTGCAGCTTTGGCGAGGAGGAGGCGCGGCGGTTCAACGAGAACCTGCAGTCGCTCATGCGCTTCTACATCGACGCGCACTCGCCCATCGACCACACCGACGACCGCTGGCGGCTGCTCACCATCTTCGAAGAGGCGCGGGAGGGCGCGCCCCGCCGCTTCACCGCGGCGGCGACGGCGATGGTCTTTTCGCGCTTTGTCGCGGGCGGCATCCGCACGGTGCTCAAGGTTTGCCAGGTAATGGTCGCGCCGACGCACCAGCGGCAAGGGCACGGCTCGGCGCTGCTACAACTTCTCTACGACCACGCTGCCACACAGGGCGCGGTCGAGGTGACCGTCGAGGACCCTTCCGCAGGCTTCCGGATGCTGCGCGACCTGGTCGACCTGCGCAACTGCCGGCGGCTCGGGCTGCTGCAGCCCACGGAGGGGTGCGAGTCGCAGCCGCTCGCCGATGAGGCGCGCGCCGCGGCGCGAACGGCGCTTCGCATCACCGACGAGCAGATCTCGCGCTGCCATGAGGTTGGCTGCTACTCGCTGCTGCAGCGCAAGCTGGCCGGGAAGGAGGGGCCAGAGGCAGAGGCGACGGCCAAGCCCTTCCGGCTGTGCGTCAAGCGGAGGCTCAACAAGAAGCACGAGGAGACACTGGGCGCCCTCGACGGCGCGGCGCGCAAGGCCGAGCTCGAGCAGCTCTACCAGGCCCTCGTGGCCGAGTACGCCGTGCTCGTGGCGCGCGTCCAAGAAGTGCCCACGCCCGCAGGGGCGGCCAGCGGCGGCTGAAAGGGCATTGGTGTTGGCCCAGTTTCGATCCGAGCCACCGCAAAATTGGGGTCGCACTTCCGCTCCATGGCCCATGCGTTTCGGAAACCACGCCGGATATGCTTTCCTGATTGATGTGACACAATCTGGCGCCGATCCCGTGCCGGGGCGCGGCGGCGCGCGCGCTGTGGAGTCTGGAGAGCGCTGGAGCGCACGTGCTCGACGTCGGTGGAGCGCGGTGCGGGGAGCTGGGAGCCCGCCCCACCGCGCGCAGGGCCGCGGGACGGGGAGGGAGGGGGGTGGATCCGTAAATCCGTAAATCCGTAAATTTGTAACCAAAAGTCACCAGAGAGTCCCCCACCACACCCAGCTACCAGGCAGGCAGAGACACAGCACTCGCGACACGCTGAGAAGACGAAGGCTGGCCTCTATAATGCTCCCGCAACGCGCTGTCTGCACGCGCAGCAGACGGGCGGCCCACACGGTGGGAGGGGTCAGCGAGACTCAGCGCCGGCTGCGCTTCTTGGTCGGGGCCGGCGCAGGCGCAGCGAGGTGCTTGGATAGTGCCGCCTTCCCCTTTTGGAAGCACTTTGGGCAGCACCAGGGGAAGCTCTTGTGCTTGAAGGACGGCTCCGGCCCTCGCTGCTCCCCAAGGCACGCAGGCGTGTCGTGGTAGATGCCGGCCTTGCAAAACGAGCAAGCGCGAAGTTCGCCTGCAGCCGACTTGCACTTGGCGCATTTGGCGCCGGCTGTGGCCGACCGCGCGGTGGTAGTCGCGGCCTCTAAAAGCTTGAGCGAGCCGGTGGCGATGAAGGCGCCGAGGGCGAACGGCGAGGGCTCGGTGAGCGCGGCAACGCCGCGCAGCTGGAGGTAGTACGGCTCGAACATCAGTCGCGCACCAGCGATGCCAAACGGCTTCTCCACCATGGCAACCAGAAGCGCGCAATCAAAGCAGATGTTGGCGGAGTCGAGCTTCTGGATGAAGGGCTCGAGGAAGAGGTGCTGCGTCGCGCAGGCCGGGTGCACCATCTTTGCGCACACGAAGCACTGGCTGGTCTCGACATCGGCGCGGTCCGCCACCTTGCAGCATGTCGCATAGCAGCACGCAGGCGAAGCTGTTGGCCCGGAGAAGGCGTCGCGAGAAGGCATCGCCGCCACCCGCCGCTCAAACTTGACCACCTCCTCCTTCGCGTTGGACAGGTTCTCGGGCGGCTCCCACGTCATGTCCGGAGTTTGGTCTCCCACTCGTCCCACTTGACTGCATATTGCACAACGATGCCCTTGCGCGCCACGCTCGACCGTGTACTGGTACTCGTCATCGTCCTCCTGTGCGGCGGGGACGGTGGGGTGACGGCGTACGAGAGGGGGAGGGAGGGGGAGTCCGGATCACCTCCTCGCTGCTCGCCTCCTCGCCATCCGCCTCGCTATCCCCCGCCTCGCTATCCCCCGCCTCGCTCTCCTCCGCCTCGCTCTCCTCGGAGGAGTCTGGCCACGCAGCCCGGCGATCGACGGCGGGCGCGTCGCCGCAAGTCTTTCTTCACCGCGCCGAAAAGTACGTCTAACCGCTCCCGCTAGCTGGGGCACGCTCCCAGGCGGCTGGGGGCCGCTCCCCAGCTCGATTAGGGCGCTTTTCACGCGATTTTACGGAATTACGGATTGGAGGGGGGTGGCGGCACATAGGGGGAGGGGGAGACGCCGATCTAGGAATCAAGTTAGTGCCGGCACTGGGTCGCGCCGCGGCGCCCCCCGGCTCTTTTGTCATTTAGCGCGAGCCCGAGGCCGAGCGGTGCCGGCCCGCCGGCGGCCCGAAGAGGCCGAAGTCGGTCAGAGGCACCCCCTCCTCGAGCTCTATAGGACTCGGCACCGCACCCCGGCCTCTCGTCAGACACTGGCAATCCCCACACAACATGGCTACTCGCCACCCTCTCACGAACACCGCGAAGGCAGTGGCCAAAGCACCACCACCTCGGAGCCGCGAGGCGCGCTCTGCATTGCTCCCTTCCCCTCCCCAACCCAATGCTCCTCCACCGCTCGCTACAAGCCTGGAGGCGACCAGTGCCCGGCAGATGGCGAGCGATTGAACGACCCAGCCCTCTCAATCAACCGCTCCGCCGCCTCGACCCGATCATCTAGCCGGACGCGTGGCGCGTGCGGGGACAGCTTAGGAGGCTGGATGGGCTGCCCTTCGGCGACGAGCGGGTCGGAGAGCAGCTTGTTGGACACCTGCCGCCGGGGCGGGCCCGTGAAGAGGGCGATGAGGCTCACGCTGAAGACGTTGAGGATGAAGTGCGCGACGAGCCCGGCCACGACGCCGTTCGCAATGGAGTACGTCATCGGCATAACGGTGATAGTGAGGAAGGCGGGGAGAGAGAAGCGCAGGTCGTCCCAGTCCATCGCCCCCGCGGGTCCCATCATAAAGGCGCCCACAATGATGCAGCACGGCGCGGTGGCGGTCAGTGGCACGGCGGCGAAGATAGGCAGGAACGGCAAGCTGAGGAGGAAGAGAAGGGCGACCACGAGGCCAGTGAGGCCCGTCTTACCACCCTCGGCGATTCCGGCGCACCTGCAGGTGGTTGGGGAAGCCGCGCCGTGAGGTTGTGCGAAGGGGCCGCTGGGCTCCTGGCTCTTCGAGTGCGGGGCTGCGGGGCTGCGGGCGGAGGAGGGAGGTTGGCTGGGGAGAGGCACACGTCTCGTTGAGGATGATGACGGGCGAAGTGCCGAGGATGCCACCCAGGCCGGTTGCGAGCGATGCGCCGAGGAAGGCAGCCCTCGTCCCCGGCAACTGACCAGTCTGCTCGTCGACCAAGCCGGCCTGGGCGGGCACGAGGGATTTGGGGCGCCGGGTGAGGGGCTGGCATCGGGTGCTGTGCGAGTGTGGGGAGGGTTGCGGCGGCGGTTCGAGGGGCCGCGTGCGGGACAAAGCACGCCTGCAACCCCGCGCCGAACTGCACGCCGGCGGTGTCGAAAATGCACACGAAAAGCATCGCGAGCATGATCGGCAGCGTCTCCTGCCACCGCTCGGCGCAGCCAGCAAAGTCGAGCTGGTCCCAGAAGCTGTGCGCGGAGGGCATCTGGCGAGCGCGGAGGCCAGGAGGCGCGGCTCAGGGGCAGTGCAGACGGCATGTCGCGGTGGGGCAGTGCAGACCTCTGCAAACTTCTCTGGAAGCGGGTGGAGCCCGCTCAGCCAGCTGAAGCATGACGACGCGCAGATTCCGATGAGCATCGCGCCCTGCAGAGCGGGCGCGGCGGGGCGGCTGGAGTGAAGAGGGCCGCGGCGGCGGCATCCCGGGGGCGGCGGCGGCGGCGGCGGCGGCGGCGGCGGCGGCGGGACAAGGCGGCGGCTCCAACAGTGGGCGGTGAAATGGTGGGCGCTGGCGCCCGGGCGCTCTCACGGCGGCGTCGGGTGCACGCTCTCATCTCTCGCGGTATGCCTGCACTCGGTTGACAGCGAGCACACCAATGAGAAAGGTGCCGCCGATAGAGAGCGCAACCTCGGTCGAGAGGATGTCGCCTGCCAGGGGGCGTGTGTCGTAGGTGTATTGCAGAGAGGGGCGGGGGCGGAAAAGGACGATGCTGCTGATGGCACGCTTTCAGGGAGCATGCTCGGGCGCGCATTGTGCGCAGCAAGAGAGATTCACGACGCGGCCGTTGCGGCTGCTTCGGAGGACCCGGTCTCAATAGTCGGCCTCCCGTCACCCCCAAAGCCCCACGCCGCTGTAGTCCAAGAACCGGAGGAGCCGGAGGGCGTGCTGAGTTGAGGAGGGGTAAATGGGGGGGAGGCTGCACCGAGAGTGACGAGCGTGTCCTTGTTGCCAACCACAAGGTTGACCATGCGGAAGCCGATGAAGGCCTGGAAGACGCCAATGGCCACCGTGGTTGCGTACTTCAGGTTGTTCGGCATCACCTGCTGCAGCAGTGAGCACGCGCCAAGCGCCGAGAGGATGCCAAAGGAGAGGCCGACGCCACACATGATCGCCAGCGCGACGCCGACAGGGATGTCACGCGCGATGCAGACGCCGTAGGCGAAGTAGGCGTTGAGACCCATGCCGGGCGCTAGGCCGAACGGCAGGTTGGCAAACACGCTCACGAAGCCGGACCCCACAATGGCCGTCGCTGCGGTGGCGAACGCGGCAGCCTTGAAGGGGAGGCCCGCGGTGGCCATGATGGTGGGGTTGACCACCAGGATATAGGCCATCGTGACGAAAGTGGTGATGCCCGCGCGCACCTCCGTGCCCACGCTCGAGCCGCGCTCACTCACGCAGAAGCATCGGTCGAGAAAGGCTGCCGCCACCATTTTTGGCACGCCGGGCGGTAGCTCCGTTGATAAGCTCTTTGCAATGCCCGTGCGGCGTCACATCTCACATGAGAAGGTAACGGAAACCCCAACTCCCCCCCCCCCCCCCAGCCGCCACTTCCTCCTTTCCCGAATGGGGCCGGTCAAGGTGGTCCGAGCCCCACTACTTATCAGGTGGGTAAATGCGTGCGTTGGAGCGTGGGGAGGCCCAGGGCGTTGGGCTTGGGGATGGAGACACGCTCAGACCAACCAGGTCCAGGAGCGACACGCCACACGGTCAACATGAACAATGTGCATATGCACATGTTCATGTTCATGTGCATGTGAAGCCGTACTCGGGTCGTCCTCGTGGTCTTCCTTCTGGCATTCTCTATTCAGCTGTGCAAGATCCAAGATGCAAGAAAGAGTAAGAGACGGAATTCACGGCGACAGCCGACAGCCGACAGTGGCGCGACACCGTGCGAGACCGAGGGACGACACGGGGCCACACGCGTGCGAGAGAGACACACACTACACGTCACGCAACTCCAAACGATCCCCGTTCTTCGTCTCCTGCCGATCCTGCGGTGCGGCTGGCTCGCGGTGGAGGTGCGACCGGACTGCGTTTGTGAGGCGTGCGCGCTGCCCGACTGGCAGCCCCGCCCTCCGCGCGATCGCGTGCACGCCCTCGATCGACGAAGACCGCAACGTCTCGACCGACGCACCGGCGGAGAGCAGCGCCTCGAGGCAGCTCGGCGCCTGCAGACACGTTGTGAACTCGTCGTGGCGGTGGGAGCGGAGCGAGCCCGGGATTGTGGTGTAGCGTGGAGTCAGGCGTGGAAGGCGGGATGGCGTGGCGGGCGAGAGACGGGTGCGACATGTCCCCTCGCGCGCCTCTGAGAGCTGCGCGAGCGAGAGCAGCATCTGCAGCTCGCGCTCGCGCCGCAGCTGCCCGCCCTCCTCGAGCGTCGACCAGCGCGGCGCCTGCTCGCGGGGAGAGAGGATGTGGGCCCGAACCCCGCCCTCCCCGAATGCAAAACCGGTGCGGCCCGGGTGCGCCTCTGCCGGCAGAGCCTCTGCCTGGGAGGCAGCTGCCGATGGCGCGGCCGCGGCCACGAGCGGCGACGACCTCGCCGCGGCGAGGGCCTGGTTATACATTATTATACGTTGTATTATTACATATATTATATCATTGCCTCACCGCGGCGAGGGCCTGGTTACGCGCGAGCAGCGCCGAGTCGGCGTCAGAGCGCGCGGCGCCCATGCACCGCCCTCCCGAAGTGACGTCGCCGGCGCTGAGAGCGCGGAGCAGCGGGCCAGGCTGCCCGGCGCGTGCCCCCTCCTGCAGCACCCAGAACCGACGGCCGCCGCCACGGCGGGCGCCGCCGCCGCCGCCCGCGAGCAGCTCGAGCCAGCCCTCGCACGTCGCGACGGCGACGACCACGTCCCCTACGCGCCAGACGTGGGCTGAAGGCCCTCTGCACGCACCGAGAAGCTTCGCGAGCCGGCGGCGGCGCGGCCTGCTCGCCGCCAGCACACCGCCGCGGCGGAGAGGCTGGGCTCGAGCCGGCAAGGCAGTCCGGGCGAGAGGAGCACCACCATCGACACGGGCCGTGGCAGCGCAAACACGCGGCGGCGGGCTCGCTCGGCGGCCGGCGGCGACCGCGGCAGCGTCGGCGGCGCGAGCGGCACGCCAAACGTGCACCGGACCGCGTGCTTGAGCCGCTCACGCAAGCCAAGGGCGAGGCCGGCGCGCTTGGCCGCCGCGACGATCTGCAGCATCGGCAGCGACTGCAGCAGCGGTAGCCGCAACCCTTGGCTGCCGAGGCTCGCGCCGACCCAGGAGGGCATTCCGACCGAGGAGAGGAAGCCGGACAGCTCCTACAGGGACGTGTCGTGGACGTGTCGTGGACGCGTCCCATCCCCTCCGCCTCCACGCGCGGCGCACGGCTCCTCGACGTCGTCTGCAGTCACCGCGAGCACGTCCAAGTGCCCCGCCCCCGCGGTCAGCACGACCAACGCAGGCGCAGAGAGCCGCTCGGTGCACGCTCCCGCCCTCTCCCCGCCGCCGCCGCCGCCACCCTCGCCCTCCTCGCCGCGGTACCCGCTCCCGTCCCTCCACGGAGCCACGGAAGGCGGCGGGGGAGGAGTCGCGTGGACGGCGCGCTGCGCTGCCTTTGAGCGGAGCAGCGCCGTCCACGGCGTGCAGTGCTTGTACAGCGCGCTCTCCCACGCGGATCCTCCCGTGTCCCACGGCCAGCCTCGCTGCGCCTCGTCGCCGAGGGTGCCGCAGTGCTCCTCCTCGAAAAGCTTCCGCATCGCAAAGTCGTTGCACCTGACGGACACGGCGTGGACACCTCCTCGGGCAGCCCCGGGCACGGCTGCCCTCCCGTGTCGCAGCGCCGTCGCACCAACACGTCCACGTGTCCTCCTCGCGCGCGAGCAAATCGTACGCGTAGCCGCCGCCGCCGCCCGCCCCGCCCCCCTCGAGCAGGAGCGCGGACGCGGCGCCTATGAGGGGCGCGTCGTGGACGTGTCGGGGACGTGTCCCGCCGCCTCGCGAGCAAGAGAGGCGGTGGATCGCGGCGCCGCCGCTCGAGGAGCCGACGAGAGGACGCCACTCGAGCTGCATCGGCAGCCGCACCTCGCCGTGCAGAATGCGCGCGCCGTTCAGCGTGAAGAAGGCGACGCCGAGGCGATAGTCGAGGCCGCATCCGACCACATCGCCCGCCCTGGCGACGGCGGCTCCCTGGGAGTGCTTGGGCTGCGAGGCAGGGCGCGGCAGCGTCCGCAGCACCGGGAAGCCGGCCGCGGCGAAGCTGGCCGCGTAGGCTCCCTGTGGCAGCGCGGCCTGCAGCAGTCCGGAGCCGCTGTGCAGCGCCACCGAGCCGCAGGTCCCTACGCGAGGCGCCACACGCCGTGAGCTGCGAGACGAGCCACCGACGCGACGGCAGCCTCCGCCTCGCGCCGGGCCGAGCCCCGTTCGGAGGGAAGTGCCCCGTCGCGGCCAGTCCGACGGCGACGCCGCCCTCCGCCGCCTGCCTCGTCACGCGCACCTCAAAGTAGGCTGTCGTCCGGAGGCTCCACCTGCGCAGTGGGCCGGTTGCACGAGGCCGGTGGAGGGTGTGCGCGAGACGCGAGGAGAGCACCCGAGGCTGCGAGATTGGCCAGTGAGAGGTGGGCGAGGGCTGGGCGAGGGGTGGGGTAGAGGTGGGGTGTGGGGTAGACGGACGGTGGGCCCCTCCTGCCCGGCGCCCCAAGGCCGCGCCCGTCGGTTGCGAATGGGACGGTCCCCGAGACGGCCGCCTCTAAGCAGCCGTCTCGCGCGCCCGCCACCGGGAAGCCGCGGTCGGCGACGGCGCAGAGATGGCGCGGGGAGGGACCGAAGCGGAGGGAGGCTCCGTCCTGCCCGACGACGACGGCGTGCGGAGTGCCGCCGCCGGCCTCTGCCTCGTCTGCGACGCATGGCCGCATGACGGCAGGCATGGGCGCCAGGCGCAGGGCGACGTCGACGAGGCTCGCGAATGGGCTCAGAACGTGCGGCGTCACGGCGGCGCACTCGGACGCAGGAGCCGCCGCGCGCCTCGGCGTGGGGCTGTGTCGCGACGCCTGGACCTCAACCCACCGCTGAGCCGCGAGTACCGCCCAGAGCTCCGCGTCGGACGTGGCCTGCCGGAGTGGCTTGCAGCAGCAGCGGAGGATGAGGACGACACTCACCGGAAGCTCAGGCAGCAGCGTGAAGAGAAGGAGGTCGGGCGGGAGCGAGAGGAGGAGCGAGCAGACGCCGCTCTCGTCGTCGTCCGGTGAAGGCGAGTCGGGGTCGGCCGATGGAGGAGGCGAGGCAGCGTCGGCCGCCGTGTGGGCCGAGTCGGCCGGCGACGGCTGGTTAGCAGCGGCCGACATAACGTCGGCCTGCACGGCCGTCGTCGTCGGCCTATTTCGCATGGCCGGGAGCGGATTGAGAGAAGCGCATAATTCCAGGCTACCCTGGTTGGCGGCGCGGGCACCCCACTCAGGCCGAGGACAAGAAGCCGTTCGTCGCTTGCTTGTTCTTTTGCTTGTTGATAGAGATTGAGAAGAATATGAACAGATCCGCAAAAGAAATTCCTTGGCGGCGGCTGTGTGGTCGTCCTCGGGTGTGGTCGTCCCCGTCCTCCGCAACAGGTGCCCAACTACGATTATGAGCCTCCCTCGCAGCGTCGAGGGGCTGCGGGCAGCGCTGTATGCCAACTCTGCCGAGTCCCTCGAAGTGGCTCCCTGTGCGCGCGCCCGAGCCGTCCCACAAGCCGCCGCGCTGCCGCCCGCGCCGCGCCGCGCCATCGTCGCGCCGGAGGAGCCGCAGACGCGACGAAACCAGCTGCCGGCTCGAACTCCGCGGTGCGGCTTCCCCTCGATGGACGTCCGCTCGTGGTTCACGGAGCACACTGCCGCCGGCGCCGCGGCGGAAGGCGCGCGGCAGCGCTACGAGATGCCGAGTGAGCCGTCCACGGGCGACGCGCCGCCTCTCTGGCCGCACGAGCCGCCGCGAGGAATCAACGACATCTTCCCGCAGTCACCGTGGGGATGATCAAGGTTTGCACAAGGGCAGCCGGGGCGCGGGTGCGCAATCGAGTGACCGGTGTGCGTGTCGAAGAAACTCGAGGGCCGGAAGGGTACGCTGGCAGCAGAGACGGAGATGTGTGGGGTGTGGCTGCCGACCGCGCGGAGCACGTTGAGCAGAGGGGGGGTGTGTGGTGGACGCGCTGGCGCGAGCCAAGAACATCAGCGCGCGTGTGGATGGACACACATTCGAACGTCACGTTGCTCGTTCGTCGTTGGCGTTTGCTGCCGCGCCCGCGTCCGAGGGGCGTGGCGTGTGGGTCCGCAGCTGTGCAAGAGACAGGGGACCCGCACGGACACACTTCGTTCTACGTGAACGTGTTCTCCCACTTACGACCAAACATTATCATTAACACAGTCCACACCAGTCACCACATTACAAAGTCAAAGAACCCTGCACAAAGATCGCACGGTGGAGTCGGGAGGGGACCTGTTCCTTTTTACCAATCTCACAGTAGATGTGTCCGTTTTTATTTATTTATTTCACCACAGTCACATACCGCCTCACATCCCTCGACAGCACTCACAGCAGTCAGCACGCCTCACCCTCAGCCCGAGCCGCTCTCACGCGCCTCAGCCTCACCCTCAGCGCTCAGGATCTCGAGATGTCGAGACTCGCTACAGCGCTCTACACTCTACATCCTCTACACCCTCCCTCAGATTCCCTCTCTGGCAGTAACTCTGGGTGACATTCGAAAAAGGTGCAGCACTTCTAGACGACATCGACACTCGAGCATCGACAAAAGTCACTCTCTACACTCTAGCCCCGCGGCGAGCGGCCCCGCCGGAGCCGAAGAAAATTTTGCCATATTAACGCTCTCTAACACACATTTTTGCATGTAAATCGACACCTCCAAACAGAATCAAAAAGACTGGTCTTCACTGCAGCACGCCTCGAGCGAGTAGTGCGTCTGTAGGCCAATTATAAGAACTTAATAGAGCTTCTCGCGCGCTCCTCAGCTGGCGGTCCGCAGGGCCGCCCGGGCCGGGCGAGAAGCGCAGGCCCGCCAGCCGCACCATGTGGTTCACGATGATGAGCGTCTCGGCCGCGAGCAGCGTGTAGCGTGTAGGAGCGAAGCTTGCCCTCGCACTCGCGTTGCTCGAGCCTGAGCCACTAGCTGCGCCTTGACCACGAGATAGCCCACGCGGATGGTGTCGGTGTTGACGACCGTGTCCTTGGCCAGCGTGTGCGCCTTTCCCTTGAGCACCGCCAGCCAGTAGAGCCCCTCGAGCGACTGTTCGCGCCGATCTGCGCGGCCAGCGGCCAGCTGCTTCGCCTTGTGTTGAGCGACGCGGCCCACACCTCCAGCGACTCCATCTGCCGCAGCTCGGCCGTCTCGCCTGCGGCACGCGGCGCCTTCTGCTTCTTGACCTTGCCAAAGACGGCGACCATCTCGCAGTCCCCCCTCTGAAGAGCGATGCACGGCGGGCACGCGCCGGTGACAGGGAGCCGGTGCGGGGGGTGAGGAGGGGCGCGTGACGTGTGGCAACATGCGGCACACGACACGGCACGGCACGATAAGCACACAGCACGGCTCAATACTAGCTGTACATGGTCAGGAGCCCATCTTTCCGGGGGGGGGCCGCATCCTTGCAGTCCCCCGGGAACATGTGGACGACTGTGGTCGTCGTGTGCAGGGCTGGTGGTAGGACTAAGAGCGGCCGCACACTCCTCGGTACCCCCCCTGCACAACTAAGCTCATCCCTGCTGCTAGGGGGGGGGGGTCTGACCCCCCCAGCAGCAGAGCGCTGCTGCTGGGGGGGGGGTCCCGACCCCCCCAGCAGCAGAGCGCACTGGACCCCGCTCTCCCGCCTTTTCGCCGCCCCCCCCCCCTCCACCCTCGGCTCGTATTTGAGCGGTACGCTCGAGGCGGTTGTGTTCACCGCGCCTTCGAGCCCAATACACCTTCGTGCTGTCGAGTGCTGGCGTTTTACTAAACACTTGTGACCATGTGAGTCTATCTTGTAATACCACACGCGCCTATACATCAGTGTAGTCTCATCATCGAGTGATTGCTGGCCTGTGGCGTATGACCTCGCGCGGATATCACCAACGATGAGCATGCGAAGATAGGGAACAATATCTTGTACAGCCCGCTGTGCTCCCCGCTGTGCCACGGCGTATGATGGGCTGCGAGAGCCGTATCTTCCCCCCTTGAAGCAGAGGCGCCGCGAGGCACGAGAGGCGTAGAAGAGAGGCTGGCGTGCCCCGCACCTCCCGGTTGGCAGTAGGAGGGCCCGCCGGTGAGACCACTGATTTTGATGCCGACCATAAATTCTCGCCACTGGAACGCATGCTACTTACAGCTGCTGTCTGTACAGAGATGCCAGCACCCCCCACAGGCAGAGCGCTCCTGCTGGGGGGGGGGGTCCGGACCCCCCCAGCAGCAGAGCGCTGCTGCTGGGGGGGGGGGTCCCGACCCCCCCAGCAGCAGAGCGCTGCTGCTGGGGGGGGGGTCGGCCATGAGCTTATTTGTGCAGGGGGGGTACCGAGCAGTGTACGGCCGCTCTAACGTTAGCACACCTCAGGGGGAGCACTGACTACAGATCGTGCCAACACTTGGCGCAAAGGTCGGTGTTAGCACAGTCTAACGGCAGTCTCAAAACAAGTGTTAGCACGCCGTTAGAACGGTGTTGGCACACCCTCCGGGTAAAACCCGGGTACACCTGCAAAACCCCGGGCATACCCGAGAAATACCTGGGTCCGCGTCAATGCCGCGCGCGCCCTACTCCCAGGGCCCCTGCGCCAACTGCGGCTCGCACCGCCTGCTCAAGTACGCGCACCGCACCATGTGCGCTCGCTACCGGTGCCAAAAGGCAGCATCGGCGCTGCGCCAGGCGCGGCTGGCAGGTGGCGGTGCGGACGATGCGGTCGTGCCGACATTCTGCTTCAAGATTGAGGCAGTGCTCGGCATGCGCTTCTGCGAGCCCGAGCAACTCATCGCAAAGAAGCGGCGCAACAGGCTGGCTGCTGCCGACAAGGCCATGTGCTACCTCACGCGAGGCACCTTCAAAGAGGACAGCAATGACGCTGGATTCATCGACACGCGCTCGAGGAGCTGTACGAGAACTGTGGCAAGACGCCGCTGAAGAATGCGCTCAAGAAGTATCGAAAGGCGGAAGAGGAGGATGTGGATGCGGCGATTGCCGACATTGAGGAGGGCGTTGAGCACGAGGGATACGATAATGAACTATTACAGCCGTTAACGTGCCAACACCGTTCTAACGTTAGTCCACTAGCCCTGGTCGTGTGAGCCGTTGAAGCCATCAGCCTTGGGGACGGCGAGGGTGGTGAACTTGGAGTGCTGAAAGAAGCTGAAAAGGATGCGCTCGATCGCCCACCAGCCCTCCTTGAACGACCTTGCGACAGCCGGGGTCGCCCGCGCCTTTGCGAGATCGAGGACGGCGTTGCGAGAACCGGAGAATATGAAATCGCGCGACCGGATCGCCATGACGATCGGCCGTCGATCCCGAGGTAGGAGGGTCGTCGGTTGAGCTAGGGAGCCTGGCGATGGACGCCACCGCGACCCCCCGTGGCATCTATCTCGCCGCCGGCGAGCCCAGGGCTCGCGGACGCACTTGGAGCACTTGGAGTGCAGTCATCAACCGCACATCCAGGGCCGGGGAACTGGACGGCCGACTTTTTATCTGAGCCCTGGCCTCGACACCTCGACACCAAACCTCGACACCGACTCGACACCTCGACACCCCATGCCAACTCGACACCCTCGACACCCCTCGACACCCCTCGACACCATCTAGGCTGAAACCATGCTCGACCGTGTCAAGGTGCCAAACTCGACACCTCGACACCCCTCGACACCCCTCGACACCGCTCGACACCGCTCGACACCGCTCGACACCCAGTCGACACCGCTCGACACACTCGACACCGCTCATATCCAGCCGGCGGCCTGCCAGCGGCTCTCTTCTTGCTTACGTATCTGACTGCAAAACTTTATAACTCCCCCCCCCCCCCCCCCTTCCAGATGATTGGGGCTTATTACGGGATCTCCGGAAAGTGCTTCTCCCCCCCTCTTAGTATGGTCTCTCACTCCCGCATCCTTCTCAGATTTTATTTCCTCCTCCTAGACACCGTGGAACTTGTGCGTACTTCCCTCTTTTTAGCAACCTGCTCCCCGTTGAGGGCTTCGTTCACAGCCCCCGTGGAGCG